AAAAAAAGTGTCTTTAAATGAACTGATGTTGATGTCGTAAACACTCGTCTTTCCACTAAAACACAATTTTAATGAAAAGGTGTAGGTGTGGTTGCTGGTGGATATCAGTGTAAATGTTAATCTTCTCTCCAATCACACCTACATCCATCATCATTTCGAAAGTGACCAAATGTAAGATTTAATGACTTGAACTATCATCTGGTGTATCGATTTTAACTGGATTATAATTTTCACCAACAAATATAACTCTAACATCAACAGATTCGTAAACCATTGAATGTTGCAGATTGATACTTGATTGTCCAGGAACATCATAATTGAAGTCAATACTACCATGGGTATTAGTTCTTTGTTGTTCATCATAATGGTCAGTTATATGTGGTGAAAAACCATTCTTAGATGGAATATACGATATTCATATCACTATTTATATGAGATAAATCTTCAAAAGATTATGCTACTGCAATCATCTTGTTTCGAAAAAAATGCATGTTACCTTGTTGAGGTCTTTCAGTAGCTGGTTGAAACAGAGCAGGTTTGAACGCTTGAACGATTAACTTTTAAGAATCGATAGAATTTCGCTCATTAGAATTCTAGATGAGTTCTAATTGAATTTTCAAATTTAAAGTTTTATATTCGTTGATTCAAGTCTCAATGCAGACAATATAGTCACTTTCCATGTTCTATTACATGTTCCATAGACAGTGTTCAATAGGTTGCAAACTAAAACTATTGTAATAGCGAAAATTTCTTATTTTATAGATCTTTGTTAGTAGATATTCAAGTAATAATAGTAGACGTTTTGAGTGCGCTTATATAATCAGTCATTTATTGAAATATTTCGTAAGTACAATTTCCACCGAACTATTTGATGTTCATCATATTTCTTTCTTGAATAATCTTGGATCTCTACGAAGACTTTCGAATGTACACTTATGAATGTCGCGATTATTGCATTGACATTTTTCATCTACATTCATGATGAAAGATGAGATTTGAATATAAGTTGTTCAATCGATTAGGACTGTGGGTGTGGGCGTGATTGTGTGATCTGGGTATGGGAATAGGACCCACACTTCACTCCCACATCCAAATAAACAGCATCCATCAGTCCAAAATGGAAAATATGAAGTATCGGTGAACGCAAAGTCACAAGCAGCTAAACACTATTCATCGATATAGATATTCAGTGCCGCGAAACATGTGAAAAACAAAACATGAGAAGATGAAAAACATTTATTGGTGCATAGTTCTGATTTTGAACCACCTATAAAAACTAAATTATCAACAGGTCAACAGAACACTATTTATTTTGGAATTGAATACTGCTTATTGTGCTCGTTGATTAATTCAGTAAGATTGGAAACAAAATCAGTTGAATATTTCTTTCTTGAAATAATTAATATAAATTCAAGAAAATGAATTAACAAAAATCTCTTTCATATTGTCCAAATTGATGATCATCGAAGAAGATGTCACTTTGAACTACTTTTGATTGGTTCTTTAAGAGTTACCATTCATTGTGAAAAATATACTCTACCTGTTTATTCATCCTACCTTAGAGTATCAATATGAGTCATGTGATTTCAAAATCAGAGGCATGTTGAATTCTTCTTTTTCCCTGAATTCTATTGACATTACGTCATGAAAATGATATTATTATCATGCGTCATTAGAATTCGTGAAATACATATAAAATGATCGGACTAATTCATCAGGTATGTAACTAACTCAAAGCAAAATATTTGATTATTAAATCAAAAAAAATCGTTACCGATTTATTTCAGTTATGCTTAATTTACCTTCACAACAAAGTCAAGTGTCTAATGCAAATGCATCAGATAATTCCGACAAAAAAAAACAATCTTTTAGTCGTCTTCGTATTATGAAAGGTAATTGAATTGATTATTTTCTTCTAATTTATGTCTTTTTTCGTTAAGATTTCTCTGAATTAGCAACATTACCTTCAACATGTGAAGTGACACAACCAGATATAAGTGATTTTTCTCATTTTACAGTAACAATATCACCTGATGATGTAAATATAAAAATAAAATTATTTAAAATTTGTTTTACTTTTAATAATTTAGGGATTTTATAAAGGTGGTCGTTTTATATTTTCAATTTTAATTTCACCGGATTATCCATATGAGCCACCTAAAATAAAATGTACACAAACAATTTATCATCCAAATATTAATCCTAATGGAAATGTTTGTTTAAATATTCTCAGGTAAGAAGACTTTTTGGAAAACTTCTCCTACTTTTGTTGTTTTTCTTTAGAGAAGATTGGAAACCTATGTTAACTCTAGTAACGGTTGTTCTTGGATTGGTTTTTCTCTTTTTGGTAAGTTAGAATTGTAACAAGATGAAAATCGAGTTGATAGAGGTTCATTTGTATCAAATGTGAAATAAAGCTTTTTTCTTAGTTCAAAGCAATGATCTATTTTAATCGTTTAGACAGTATTCTACTAATGGATCTGCTAGATAGTCCGAATTCTACTTCAGAATTTGAGTTTTATTAGAATCTAAGTTTTTTACACTTGGCTTCAGAAAAATTTTTCAGTATGATATACATTTTACATTATCGTATTTATTCTTCCATGTTATTTCATACAAAAAAGAGAAATTCGCTATCTTTCGAAAACAAAATGAGGACTACGAAAAAAGATGATTTTTCAGATCTCTAGTTGCTTATTCTTCGGTAAATATATTTGATTCAACGTTTCATTTGCTCTCAGAATGTTTGTAGATTTCTCAAAAATATTATTCGAAATCATCTGATTTAACTAAAAAATTCTAAATAAAAGTTTCAAGAATTCGTTTGAAAGAAAAAGTGGATCGCTATTAACAAAATTCTAGTCTCAATACAGATTTTTTTTATATCATCATTTTCTTATAGGAGCCAAATCCCGATGATCCATTGAATCATGAAGCTGCTGCAGTCTTTAAAACAGATGTAAATACATTTAAAGAAAATGTTTGTAAAACAATGGCAGGTGGAATATTGAACAATATTCAATATAACAATGTACTTATTTCATAATACAGACAAATAAAATTCCCTGTTTCATTTTTTTTTTTTGTAATATAAAAAAATAAAAATAAAATAACTTTTTAAAGGAAAAACCATCTAAAGAAGCATTAGTGATTTGTTGGAGATTTTCGTTCACTTATCCAGTTTCGTACATTACCAAGAGAAAAAGAACAAGAAATTAAAGGATGAGATGTAGATAGTTTATCATTATTAACAAAACAAAAAAAAAACAACTCAATTTTGATGATCATCAAAACCAACTAGGAAACAATTTAAATTTATTTATTAATTTCAATGATAAATAAGATAGTCGACTCAATGAATATGAAATAACAAATAATCAATGCATCTATTGCATTATTTTCTTCACATGTAATAAAATTTCTATTGTATCTTGTTTTTAATCCTTATTCTGTTAATTAAACAAATTGTCGTGGTTTTATAGTTGCTCCTCGATTATCTTGGATTATCTTTCTTGTTCTTTTTTTGATTAATATAAATATCTGGTTCAGCTGCTTTACTTTATGGTTTTACTCTTCAACTATCAACACATCATTCTGTATCTAATGTTTTGTTCACAATCATTAGTAGCAATTGAAGCAGCATCACCTTCTTCAAAAAGTTCATTTCATGAAGATCAAATTTTTTCTATTTTAATTTTAATCATATTCAATTACTGTTATCTTAGATTTATATTGAATTTATTCAAAAATTAGCAAAGTTTCATCATGGCTTTTCAGTTTTTTTTTTATTATTGAAAAACATAAAATGAAACCATTTAGTAATAGTACTCTTTTCAATCAATGATTTTTTTTTTTGATAACAAGTAGCACTCATTCTTCAGATTCGCTTATCCTCTTCTGAAGAATGGAATGGAATATGAAGTGTAGAGTGTAGACGTTCTATTGACTCATATCCAAACTCCTTAAATTTTGTAAAAAACAAAGTTCTCAATGAAATAAGTTGATTACATAAGTTGTAACTTTTCTAGTATTCCCTATTGTGTGATACTGAATATTTGAAGTTCTCTCATGTGTAAGAAAACATTTTGCTCATATAGTTTACATCTCCAGAAAGAATGTGTTAGAAAAGCTGGAGCTTACACAATTAATTAAACTTCATTAAGAACTTTGTTGATGCAGAGATCAAAATCAAAACTTAAAAGTTAATTTTTCACATGACCAAAGAGGTACCACAACTTTTTGTTATGAAACCTGGTAGAATTTTCGACGCTTTTTTTCTTTTTATACTTTTTACTAAACTATATGGATGTGGGTATAGCTATGGCTGTAGGGATAATCATACTCTGAAGATACATACTAACATTCATATCTTGAAGGGAAGACTCTTATCCATACTTCTATACATACATTCTTATTCTGCTTACAATAAATTGAACTTTTTGAGTTTGTTCATTAATTATTCCTCGAAAATCGAGTTCACGTTTAAGCACTATTATGAAGAGTATGTCAGTACAGATTGGTAGTGAGGCTATAGGTTGAATTTGGATTTAGACTACGACTCAGAAAAGACCCACCACTACACTTTTCATCATCAGGAGTCTTATTTCTTTAGCTTCATGGTTTCCATAGTAGCTAATCGCCAAGAGGATGCGCAGTGTGGGTGTTCGCGTCGGCTAATGAAGTAGAGAACCCTATGCACGCCTGCTGTTCTACTGGGAATGCTTGGTTGTTGTATAAAAATTGCATTTTCAATTAATAAATATTAATAACAGAAAATAGATCGTTGAAAACTACTATATAGAATTCATCTATTAATGTAGGGCCCCATGAGAATTTTGAATAGTGCATTATATATTATGTTTGCCGATTATATAGTTTCGATATAAAAGAAATGAACTCATCTTGAATTACATAAACGTATGTTAAAGTATTTTAAAGTACGTGAACTATGAATTATCATGTTTCCTCCTTGATCACCGTGCATTGCATTATTTGTTTTTTTTTTCTTTTCGTTCGTTCTTTTCTTCATCATACTCGATAAATAAGCTAGATACACCTTTTCTTTTGTACTAAACTCGTGCTTCACATAAACATGTTTCTGTTACTTATTCTTATTTTAATAACCTTATTTTTCGTTTATCTCAAACTGAAATATTTTACATTGTACGGTTGGATACCCGGCAAATCACCACAATTTCTTTTTGGCAATCTCCTTCAGACAGGTCTTCACAGTGGTAGATATATCGGACATGTTGCAAAAGAATTTCAAAATAAATATGGTGATACCTTTCATATGTGGTTGGCACATTTACATTTTATTTTTGTCTGTAACCCGGATGATGTTCAACATGTGTTTACTCATCGATATATTTATGAACAAGGGGATCTACATGTGTCTCAACATCGGGTGGTTTTCAATGATGCATTGATTTGTAATATAGGTTTGCACATCACCATCAAGTCGTTTTTTTTTGTAAGATAAAAGAGATCCGTAGAGCAGCTAAGAAGTCATTACGGATTGATTAATTGTTGAACAAGGAAAGAAAAACGACATCTTTGACAAAAGATATAGAAACTGTTAAGTCTCGAGAATCTCTGAAAGAAAATTTCTCATATACATGATGTAAACTCTATTCTTCTTAATTTTTGTTTTATAATAGGACCCAAATATAAGCGTCATGCAGCCGTTATTCTTCCTTTATTTCGTCGTGGAAAAATCTTAAATAACTACGATTTAATTCTTGATTGTACTGATAAATTGCTCGATCAATGGCGTTCAAAAACTGATATTGATCCTGATCATGTTTATCTAAATATTGTTGATCAATGCCAAAATTTATCATTGTCAATCTTTGGTTTTCTGGCGTTTGATTATGATTTACAAACAATAGAAGAGCCAAACATTAATAAGAAAAATCAATTAACAAAGGCTTTAAATGATTTTCTACAAGTATTTATTCAAACAATTCGTTTACCGAATTTCATCGCTAAACTCTATCTAAAACTTAGTTCTCGATATCAACGTGCAAAAGCAACTATTGACCAATATTTGAATCAAATCATGGAACATGAACAAAGAAAACCAACAGAACAAATTGCTGAACAAAAAAGAACTAGTTTAATTGCATCATTGATTACTTCTTTACAACAAGATGAAAAATTGGAAGCAGCAAAACCTGAACAACAAAAGAAAGGTCAATAATTCTTATGAAATAAACTTTTTTCTTGACAAATTTTTTCTTCTTAAGGTTTATCTCGTGCAGAAGTAATTGATGAGTTGCTTCTCTTTCTCGTGGCTGGATCAGAAACAACAGGAAGTGCAATTGCTTGGTTCATTTATTTAATGAGTAAACATCCTCGTGTACAAGCTAAGATTAAAGCAGAACTTGGTGATAATAAACATAATCATATGACTGTCGAACAAGTCGAGTCCTTGACTTATCTGGATTGTGTTTTACAAGAAGTTTTTCGCTTTATTCCACCTGTTGCCGGTACAACTCGTATAGTAACTGTCGATGATCGATTACCTGGAAGTGGTGTTCAATTGCATAAGGGTGATGAATTGCTCATTTCATTCTACAATTTGACTAGAGATAATCGATGTTGGAAAATAGATCCCGATTTGTTCTATCCGGAACGTTTTCAAAGTGAAGATGTAAATCATCATTCTTATGCATCAATTCCTTTTGGTGGTGGTCATCGACAATGTATTGGTCAAGATTTAGCTCGTTTTGAGTTAAAAGTAATCACAACAAGATTAATGCAATATGTCACTTTTGGTGATGCTGGTGCAGAAGTCAATAGTGGTGGATATGCTCAGAAAGTGATTACTACACCTAAAAATGTAGGTGTTACCATCACATTCGATTAAGATGTGAAAATAAACTTTCAAAACAGTTTTTGACAATTAAAATGAAAAAACAATGAGATCTTTTTTCATTTTTGTTAGTGAAAGCGTCACAAATATGAGATCAATTGCTGTATGAGTACTTGAATACTATTGAACTGCTAGAAGTGTCATGATCTGCATGCCCTCAGTAGGTGTGGGTTTGGATCATAAAACTAGGGTGTGGATGTTCTTTTCTCTCTTCACACCCACACCCTTGTTGTCAAACATTTGAAAAAGTTGAATCGAAGATCATATTTGAATAAATACTTTTAAAAAATATTCCATTTGTTTGTATGACGAACTAATAGATCAACAATAGTCTATTATAATATTTGTGGAATGAATATTATATTTTGTTTAAAAAAACGAACAAAGTCATTGACTCTGAGAAAACAAAGTATTATTAGAGATGGTTATATTGAAAACATGAGTATTCATATCATATTGATGATCATGAAAACTTTGTTTCTAATTTCGCTTTCGATCGAAATGTAATTTTTTGAAAATGATCGATGTTTCTTATCTTATCAAAGCTCAATGCTTATTATTAGAAGTATTTATATTGAATACCAATTAGGAAAAAAGATTTTTTTGTACATGTGTTGAATTACTTAAAGACGTGGCTAGATGTGAAATATGAGATTGGAGAAGCGTACGTATGCTTGTCCTCATCTCCTTGCATCATTATTAAGCAGTTTTGAGGAAATTGTCATCTTACTTTTTTGATCTCATAATTTAGTGTTGTTTGTGTTAATCCATAAAGTCACATACAGATCACACTGGTGAATTGGTATTCTAATCCATCTCCATCTGATTTATACTATACATACGACATTGACGATGATTTTGAAGAATATTTGAATAGAGACAAATTTGATTGCCAAAGTGGTCTTGTTCTTGGCCTTGGTGATTTTTTTGTTTTTTTTATCAGATAATATTGTTCATATTGCTTCCGGTATGGGCAATGATGACAAAAATATTAGTGGTATTTGGATGCATTATAAGTATACAAATTGGTCAATGTGGCACAGCATACATTCATCGATTATGGAAACTACCAGCTGTTCCTGGTTTACCTTTGCCTGTAATTACTTTTTCGATGTATACTTTCATTATAAATGTTATTATGAAATATACATATAATGATTGTCAATAATTGTAGATTTGGCACTAGTTTACTTTAGCCACAAGAGAGACATGATTTGACTACATCGCATTGGGTGAAGGTGAGATCACTGTGTCTCAAGTAAACTAAATAGTATCCAAAGTGAAGAAGACTGAGTATGATCATAATAAAAGATATTTAAGAAATGAAGTTGACTGATGTAAAAATAGAACTAATTAACTGTAATAGAAGATAATTAGGACTCCCGATTTAATCTATTGAGATCGAAAAACAAATTTGCAATAGAAACAACTATTGATGAATTATCTACTCAGTTGAGTATATGAACAAAAAATTGAAATGAATTATCAATATTAAATAATCATTGTCCATGATTATCATGTATTCTTTCATCAATGTCATTAAAGTTCAATGGTATCTAATGGTTATAATCATATTCTTATTCATTATCATCAAATAAACTAAATTGAAATACTTCATAAATTTTTCAATACAATTTGATCAGTAGCACACATCGAAATGTACGTGTATTTAATTGATTTTTCAATAGAACAATGAGAATTTAATTCTAATAATAATGGAATTTAATTGAATAACTTGATTTATTGGTATTAATTGTATTCGAGCTATAAATCAATATTTTGCTATGACAATAAAAGAAAATAATTTTTCATGGAGAATTTATATATCGAATATGTTAAAAATGAATAAAATACGTCGTCATAGAACAATTGAGCAAGAAAATAATTAAAGTAATTGAATCGAATTAATATTTTCTATTAATCATTATGGATAGTTGTTTGCTGATGGTGATTAAGGTTTTGTTTTAATTGATCAAACTGTTTAACAAGAATATAAACAAAATAATATTATGAAAAATAATATGAATCATTACAACTTTTTATAGTTTGAAAAATCAATGTAATACAAAATGATTTAATGATTATAAACATAGATAAGTAACCAAGTTTAATTATTGGATGTGGTTGTGGTTTTGACGAGATAAATTACACCCATAGTCTCAGCCACATCCAAAGCATAATAACCTTCTATCACATTATAAGAATTAGGGATATCAACCTGATAATCCATGTCAATCATTTCATTTGTGTTGTCTGTGTTTGTCAATTCAATCGCATAGACTAGGCCAATATCGAATCAACTGGTCGATTATTTGTTAATGCATTCCATCAATATTTAGATTTAATCAGTATTGATTGTTGTAAAGAACGGTTCAACATGAAAGGATTTCGTCATCAACATATTCATCCAAAACATTATAAGACAAAATTCATTTTACTTGGAAAAATTCCACACAACCATCTCTTATCGACAAAAGATTTTCTTCAAATGATCCAATATCTATTAAGAGAATAATTCATTCAAACTTAATACAACGGCAACATAACAATAATTAGAGTTAAAGAGGTGCTCAGTATCTTCTCCTCTCCATTCGACGTTTCCCTAGGCTCAATCAACATCGAAAATATCTTCTTACAATTATTGTGAGTAATCTACAAATGATGAAGAAAGAATTTTAACTTGAGACGGCAACAAAGAAGTCAAATTTTGTTTGCGTTTAGTGGAAATATTTTTCAAAATTTATCAATTATTCTGTGAAAACATGAATAAATGAGAACAATTTTCAAAAACAGCTTGTTGCTTTTTCATGTAAAGATCGAAATATTTTCAGGAACGAATGATTTTTATTGTTCTTTCATATATTAGCGACATTGTTTTTCGTCATTTTTAAGCAATGATCAGATATTCATTCAAAGTTCACTTCTTATGGTAGCTAAATAACAATGGCTGCTAGTTCACCTGGAATATTTAATGACTATCTATGATAAACACCGATTGCCGTCCGCGGCTATCGCTGCTATTCTTATAAATACATACTTGTTGCAAATGAACGTATATTTGTTGCTTTCATTTCAATGTTAATCGAACACTTGTTTATCATCTTGACCAAAATTCTTTTTGAATATTGGCAAGGTGGCAAGCCAAATATCTTTCTTGGCATAATCCAAAAGAGAATATCTTTTTGGAAAGTAAGTACATAAGAGAAAAACAAAAAAACGATGAATTCTATCAACATGTTTTCATTCAGACTAATCTACGATTACGACACAAATTCAAACATTTGACACACTTCAACGATTTACCCAACGAAATTTTTCTCATGATATGTAATTATTTGACTCCAATACATATACTCAAAGCGTTTTACAATTATGATAATCGTATATTTTCTTGCATATCTGATTATCGACAAAACATTGATTTGACCAAATATTCTTATTCGGATCTTCAATATTTTCTTCAATTATTCGTTGAAGGATATTTTCGACCTACAACATTGACTGTCAGTAATAATCGATTGCCAACACAGATCCAAATCTTTACGGCTACGTGTGACTTACCATTGCGCTTTCGTTCCACTGATGTTCACCATTTATCACTAATCGAATGTACAAATGATAACATTCAGGCTATTAAGTCATGTGTACAAAAGTTTAAATCATTGCAATCTTTACGTATTGTTGAATCGGCATCGAATGAAAATAACCCCCTTTTACACTATGACATCATCGAAAAACTTCGCAATTTTATGCTTGATCAATTCGTCAAACTTGAATTGAGTATTAATCAAGGTATCATACTTGACAACCGATTGCATCCAAATAAATATCTTAAACAATTGATAATTTCACTACAAAAATTCAATGATCTTTTTGTTTTATTCGATGGACTCGTACCGAATTTAGTTGTACTCAATGTTACGATCTGTCAATCTGATACGTGCAAACGATTAGAAATACCAAAACATTGGCCACGTGAATTTATGTTACATTTAGTTGAATTTCGATTAAAAACTAATGAGAATGTGACAATGAATTTGAATTATTTTCGTAGTATTGTCATGCCTCTTAGTCAACTCCAGAACTTAACGATCGACGTAAGAAAATGGTTTAGTCACGATCAACAATTCGTACGAGGAAATCACATTGAAATGTTAATCAATGAATTTATGCCTCGACTTTGTCATTTCCATTGTTTTATTCAGACAATGCATGATATCAATATGCAGGTAAATATTGTTCTACATATATATATATATATATATGAAGAAAATCAACGGAATTTTTTCAGAGTTTTACAATGTTAAACAAACGCTGGTTGATGGCATGTAGATCGACATCTGACAATTTGCAAAAACATTTATACACGATCCCTTGGCCATTCAAACAACTTCATTTATCAATGCTCGCCGATGATGATACTGAAAGCATTTGTCCTAATGTTCAACATCTAATTGTCGATGTGAGCTGCATAAACCTATCGCGTCGTTTTCCAAATGTTCGCACACTCATCGTTTTGCCTCAAAGCAATCTCACGCGTGATGACTTTGTTGGATTTCGTCATCTTCGACATTTGACAGCAGATAATATAGAAATGGTTTCATCGCCTCTAACACGACATATTCACACGTTGACTTTGTCGAAGACGTTCCACTTGTTGAACAATTTGATCATTTATCCTAATGTGCGACATTTGATTTTGACAAATGATGAAATCGACTCATTAGTAATTATTACCGCTCTGGTACAATATTTTCCCAATCTTTATTCGATCAAAATTCAATTGAAACCAAATACTGAATATTATGATTGTCTCAATTTACTACTTGATGGTCAGCATTTGCCTAATCTAATCTTACTCAAAACAAATTGGTTCGATCAATACACATACTGTTCGAATATTCAATTATGGATTGCTGCCAATACACCGTTAGAATGGAAATTGACTCCATTTTATGGACATTGTGATCGTAAATATTTAACTATTTGTTTGTGACAATCTTTCTTATCTTGTCATTTTGTCGCCACACTTTAAGTAGATCTGAACCTATTGTTTTTATATCCATTCTTGTTTACAAATGTACATTAAGGGTGTGGGTGTGGGGTGTGGGTATGGGGCGTGGTTGTGGGGTGTGAGTGTGGGTGTCGGGTGTGGGGTATGGCTGTGGGGTGTGGGGGTGTGTGTGGGTTAAGAAAGGACATACACCCACACCCCACCCACACTCACTCCCCCCCCCCCCCCCCCCCACCCCCACCCACCCCAAAAAAAAAAAAAAATCACTTTATCTAAACATATGTTGTCAGTATGGTGCTTAAAAAGGCCAGTAGTACTAGGGTTAATATGTGCAAATACAAGGGCTTATAAGTGGTTTACATTAGGTTAAGTCACTTTAAACCTCTCAGAAATAGCTTACAATGGAAAAAATTTTCACATAGGTATTATCACTACCCTCACATTCAAATCAGCAGGATTAGTTCTGAAACAGCACTATGCTTTATGAAAGCTGATCAAATTATTTAGAAATGCGTGTTTTATCTACGTTCGAACAGCTCTGCAACTTTTATACAATTTATCAACTTTGTAGAATCATCATATATGTGAATAAAAATAGCAACAGCTCACGCGTGAATAATTAAAACAATTTACAATGATGCTCTACAAAAGAATAATGAACTATCACGACCAAATGCCAAAGCAAGAAGTTATTCTTGCGGTCTTCAGAAATAATTTCTATAGTGAATATCTGCATAGGGAATACCGACAAGTTCAACATATGATAATCACCAGAGACCGTAAGTGCTTAACAGTGCTTGAATTCGGAAGAAATAACAGCGTTTACAAGCAACTGAGACTGTAAGTGCTTGATTTGTTTTCATTTTCAGCTCTTTTAAGCAGCTGAGTGAATTTCAAGTGCTTCAAAACGCTTAAAAAACAGAATTTAAGTACTTTTTAGCAGCTGAAAGTGGTTTAAACTTATTTAAGCTGCTTAAAAATAGCTTACAATGGTTAAAATTTTCACATGGGCGAACATGACTAATAATTGATTGTAGTCTACACTTCATTGAATAAAATTTTGTTCGATATAAATCCTATAGTTGAAATGAACAGATAGTAGGAATCAAAGTTGTTTGCATTTCGAGATTGCTCAGTGACTTTTGGACCACCCAACACATTTCACAGAATGAAACTTCTATATCATCTTGATGAAATCATCATAGTTTTTTTCGAAGAGATCTGGCTAACCGTCTGATCAACATTCGTCATTGTTGGGTGTTATGAGTAACTATGGAATGGAATATTTTCTATCGAACGATGAAAGTTGCAGCCTTCTATTTTGTTTCTATCAAAGTATAATCGCCATCAAAGGCTACCAGGTAACTTTAGCCTACTCTGTAGTATACAGGGAAGAGTTTAGCAATCAGTAGAGAATCAAGTCAGTATCAACGACAAGCATTAGTTCTTATTACTTTAACACTCAGATGAAGAAAAGAAAAGATATTTGGATTAGCACAAGTCTAATCATTTTATTAATAAGAGCCATCTTTTATTTAGCATATCATTGGTTAGAATGAAGACAAATATTTTGGTTATAAATGGAATAAGAAGTGTTACAGTTCATGAATCAAAAATATTACTGCCACTTGTGAGCCACATTAGAACTAGCAAGGACGTTGGCAGCCTAAAATATAGCAAAATACAGCCTAAGTTTTCGCCATAGTTTGAATTCTTGCAAAGAATCAGAACGAATTACTTACAACATCCACAGCAAGCAGCTATCCAACATGGTGTCCATAATCCAGCTGTTAATAGCCAAAGTAAACAATGGCACCCGTGTTGAACATCTTTATTCTGGTGTTGAACAATAACAATATTTGGCTGGTTATTCGCTGGATATGGCTGTGTAAAAACAGGTGGTGCCTGATTATAGACAGGTGGTACCTGGTTATAGGCAGGTGGTACCTGTGTAGGATTTGGATAGCCTGTCGACATTGCGAATTACTGCAATTAAAACTAAAGTGAAAGAAGGTAAAACATTTTGTGTGTCTCAATCAGAGATGGACGAGCCGCGGCGTAAAACCGCCCCGGCCCGCGCCGCCGGCGGGGCGGTGCTAAAATTTGACGGGACGGAGCGGTGCGGTGCACGAGGAAATTTCGCGGTTTCCCCACCTTTGTATAACCTTGATTTTTTAAATATACCCAAACCTTTATAGACATCTTTTTAGAATTTTAAAAATTTTTTCACACAAAACTAATCAGTAAAAAAAATGAGTGAATGTATTATAATTGATATTCATTTTCATATGTTTATTTTTTTTTCTGTTTCGAGATGATGTTTATGCAGGTATTCCTTTAGCTGCTGCTCCTCTGTGAATTAACGGTATCATTATAGTTGGTGCTCCTTTTAAAAAGAAAAAATGATTCGCATGTAAATTGCCATGTGGAGCATTTTTTCTTTTAAAAGCAGCACTAGCTATGATGATACCGTTAATTGATAGGGGAGCACCAGCTAAAGGAATACCGTTTATGCATTTAAAATATGTCTTTTCATCTCATGAAATAAAATAGTCATTTTAAAAATTTAATAAAAAATTTGTCGAGAAATAGATTTTGAAAACGAATTTTGGACGGGGCGGGGCGAGGCGGGGCGGTGCGGAACTTTGTCAACGGGGCGGGACGGAGCGGTGACGGTGCGACTTTTTTGCTGACTCGGCCATCTCTGGTCTCAATCCCATGTAGAACCGTAAAACCTTATAATGATATACAGCATGATATAAGAAGAATTCTCGAATCATCTGGATGCTACGCAGGTTATAACACAAGTATAGTATCTCTCCTGCTTATACCTGGAGAATTGTTTTTGTATTTCAGCAACAAACGATATTGATCTAATATTGATATTTATTTGTAAGCCCATTGAAGAACTCCATGGTATCCCCATATCTCTCTTTTGCCTCTTGTTATTTGAAGAAAAAATTGGAGAAAACTGAAAAGAGATAATAGCATAATCAAAGGTCCTATTCGAAGATCATACTTTCTTCTCTTTTAAATTCTCTTACATGTTTTAGTTTTAACATTGTTTGAGACAATTTCAGAACTATCATCATGTGCTGTCTAAAGCCTATCAATAAAGAAATTCCTCTAGCACATTCATTCATTGATTCGATGAAGATTGCTCAATAAATAAACATCACTTCTGCAAGCAATGTGAATGCACACAAAGATAAGATACATGAATGATATCTGAATTCAATCTAAAATACTATTCAGATTACAAAGAAATTCACATATTTACTGTATACGAATTGTGAATAAGGATTCCCATTGACCGTTGGTCGAGCTTAGAAAACATGAGCAAAAAGATTCAGATAACTCTAATAGAAGAAGTCTTCAGAATTGAACGGTGTAGAGAATTTAGTTTCACCATATGTTCTGCGTTTATTTTGCTTTTTCTTAGGATAGTATTTGTGGAAAACTTTCTTGTACATTCCATTGAGATAGTTGACAAAATACGATATTCGTAGAAAAAATATATAATACAGAACTTATTTGTCATTTGGTAGCACCACATTCCATAATAAAATCATTAGTGAAACTAAGCTATTTAACATTTTTTAAACGGATTTATTTAGATCAACCAGTGTGACGTTTTGTTCTAACTAAGAACATTATCAAACACAAATAAATAGACAGAAGAAGAATATATATAAGAGTAAAATAATGTCATCGTTTTTATTCTATTGTTTTAAGCATTTCAATACACGAGAGAGTAAAATTGATCTGTCTGCATTAGAATGTTTAAAACAATAGAATAGAAAAACGAAGACATTATTTTACTCTTATATAAATTCTTCTTCTGCCTATTTATTTGTGTTTGATAATGTTCTTAGTTAGAACGAAACGTCACACTGATTGATCTTAATAAATCAGTTGAAAAATATGTTAAATAGCTTAGTTTCATTCATGATTTCATTTTAGAGCTTGTTATTTTACTGAGTTCGCCATCGATTGAAACTTACGCGAAGAAACTTTAGTTTTTTAACTCTTATACCATAAAAAAGAATATAATGCTGAGTATATATTCCGTTTTCAGTATAAATCTTAAACGAACAACTGGATGATAAATATGCGTAAGTCATTAAGATTACAGTAATCAAATAAAAAACTTAGCTGCTCTATTAACTTTTGTAGCAATAAATTATTTTTTATCTACGACAGACGACAGTTAAAGAATGAGAAAAAAAAATAGTATCAACAATGAATAAATTTTAGAAGTACGTCAATAGTGTTGCTCTTCAATATTTTCTTTTGATAAAATATACCAAAAAATTGACATCATTTTATCTATGGTATTTTTCCCCTAGAATTTTTCGCTTGTCGTATCAATTCATTGATTCTTCTTAAAAATCTAAGTTTCATTATCACATACATATTTGATACTAATAAACTAATTTAGATTCTTCTTTCATTATTCATCGAGATTATCATAAATCACAACTTTGTAACTAATTATATATTTCTCCATAGATATTAGAATAAACTAGACTTGAGAAGATTTCGATAGAATATTTATCAGATGTAAGACAAACGCATCATCCTTGAGCGATCGACAAATTTCTAATTACCTACGAAGAGTATAGAAAAAAACTCTAAAAAACGATTGCTATGTCAGAAGAAAGAGTGCAGTCAGGTTTTTGTAATATCTAAACGCATTCTAATGAGTAGGTCTCATTTTTTTTCGAAAAAGCAGAAGTTAAATTTTCAACAAGTTAAAATATTTATTTAAAGAAGTGAAAGTTCATGCATCTTTAAAACATAAGGCATGGGTAGAAGTCTTGAACAAATATCAAAACAAAAAGAAAAGTTTGTAGAAAAGACTTCTACTCATGTCTTATGTTATATAGATGCCAAACTTTCATTTCTTTAAATAAATATTTTAACTTGTTAAAGATTTAACTTATGCTTTTTCGAAAACAAAATGAGACTTACTCATTGGAATGTATTGAGATATTGAGAAAAAGGGCGAACGTGTATTGTCCATCATCAAATTAATAAAATTAGATGAATGGTCAAGTTACAAGTAAGACGAAGATGATTCTTGAATATTAAACCTTTTTTTCGAGTAAAGAATCGTTTACGACAGATGAAATAATAAAAAATTATGATTTTAACATCAACGAATCACTATTAATGACATTTACAATTCGAAGTTTAAACGACAAGAGCATAATATTACTTTATGACATACAAAATCATTTTTTGTAATAAACACGTAATTTGGTCAATATATTATCGTTTAAACGATGTGACATTAAACATCGTTTTAACGGCAGAACAACGTTTCCTCAAC